AGACTGTTTATACATTTTACCATGTGCTTACTAAAGGGAGGTTAATAGAAAAGAGCATTTAAAAAGAGTTAAATAAAAGAGAAACATATAAAGATAGGTTAAAAGTGAGAAAAGGGCAAGAAAAGGGAAAAGAAAGCCTCTTTGCAAAGGGCAAAGATAGCACATGATTAAGTCAGAGAGAGAGATCCTGTCCTACCAGCTGTTCCTGGGGAAAGTGGCAGTTTCCAAGGTTCACAGCCCCTCAGGCTTATCTCCGCCTTTGGATCGGACCATTCAGATGCTTTTCTACAGCTGCATCATAGAATACATTTTCCTGAACCAATCCTATAGTCCCAAGATTTTTAAACAAGAGCCATCTCCCTCCCCTCTCTATCCCCATCCTTCAAGTGCCTTATTCTTATCTGAAAAAACAGACCTCAAGCGTCTTTCCCACCATTTAGCCCTTTTACATAGGTGCTTTAATAAAGGTTAAAACCATAAGCTTAAAACCATAAGTGTTTTATGCCTGTGTAGACATACCCTGTGAATCCACAAGGTGCAAGGCAAGACAGGCCAATACATATTATTTTACATACTCAAGTCTTAATGTAGCATTTGGGTGTGCTAGTTAAGCACAACATTTGAAAATGGGTGTCAATTTTTTCTATATTTAATAATACAGTTTTCTTATCTAAATCTGTACTAAGATGCAGTTTGTAGGAAAAGTTTTATACATAATTAAGTCATACGTAATTGCTGGAGCAGTCTATTAACTTCCTTCCCTGATGAGAAAGGGAAGAATGGGGAAGGAGAGTAGCTGAATAGACTGCACACAGGGAGGGAGAGAGACTGGCTGAGGGACAGATAGAAGGGAATTTCTATGTGGCTTTCTGAGAGTGAGAATGAGTGCATCAGGGTTGCAGAGATGGAAGGGACAGTAGCTGAGTGAGATATAGCAGGCAGGGTGGGAGAGTGCGTGCCTGTATGTATGTGTAAGCAGAGTCAGGATGAGCTCTACCCTGACATCTGGTGGTGAATTATGGCGAGGGTGGAAAAGAACTTCAGGGGCTGATCTTGTTTGCATAGGCACACCCACCTGCCTAGCCTGGGACGACAACAACAACTGAAAGTGGTTACTTTGGCTGGTGTGGGATCCCCAGTTTCTCTGTTATTGGGGCAGGAAGAATAAAGTGTTGTTACCCTGATTCTGTGAATCAAGGCCAGTGGAACTGTTGTATGACAGAGGGATTCACCAGTAACTAAGTAGCACTCGCTAGACGAGGGGAATGGGTTACACAACCCAGTGAATTGAGAGAGGTTGGGGACAGGTATGTGTAGCTGATGGTATGGGCCCCTTTTGAAGGCCTGGAACACCAATTGCACTACCCCCTCTCTCCACTGTTGACTAGCAGAGCTAAGTTTGCTTCCATTAGGAGTCTAACTAGAAGTTGCTGAACTGAATTCACTTTGGGCCAATGGTGCGCCAGCACTGGGGCTCCCCTACTACAAGCTGAAATCACTAAGAGCTGAAATCACTAAAATTGCTGAGCTGAGATCACTGAGTGCTGTTAACCAGTGAGGGAGCCTGAAGAAATATTGCTAAGTAGCTGGCAGAGCCGAGCAGTTTGTGGGGCGGTTGGAGTGGCCCATGGAACAGCGAGCAGAGCGGAGCTGAGCCATTTGCTGGGGCAGCTGGAGCGGTTCACGGGACGGCTGGTGGAGTGGAGTGGCTAGCAGAGCTGAGCAGTTTGTGGGATGGTTGGAGGAGCGGAGCCATTTGTGGTAAAGGCTGCAGCAGAACTCCATGGAGAGGTGGGGCAGTCGGCCTCGGACCACGTAAGGTGCCCCTTAACATTCCGTGTGGCCCCCCCATATTTCCGCCCAGGCTGGGGGGGTAAAACTCTGCAGATAAACTTTTGAACTCTGGGGCAGCACTGACCAGGGACAGAGACTTTGGGGTGATTGGACTTAAGACCCTGAGGGGAAAAGGACACTGCCAACTTACTTGGAGGTGGGTCTTTTGCTCATGGTTTGTGTTATGAATCCTGTTTGTGGTGTTTCCCTAACATAATGCCGCATTGTTTCCCTCCTTTATTAAAAGGCTTTTGCTACACTCAGACTCCGTGCTTACGAGAGGGGAAGTATTGCCTCATAGAGGCGCCGGGGGGGTATGTAATTGTCCCAGGTCACTGGGTGGGGGCTCGAGACGGTTTTGCATTGCATTATTGAAATGGAACCCCTAGATACTGAACCCGGCCCTTGTTGCTGCCAACTCAGAGGGGCAGGAGGGTTACGTATGTATGGGTGGCGGGGAGATAGGAACAGAGAGTGGCTATAATATTTTGATGTTTTCTGCCTTACAACATTTTCTGCAGATGCCTTGAAAAATGGACTATATGTGGTACTATCACTGCAAAGAAAAGACTGTGACTGCAGACCTACATATGCACTCAAAGCCTGCACAACCCTATACTTTTTTTTAATTAAAAAGGGAAACTGGTAGAGCAGCTGTGGTTTTGGAAGAGAGTGGGCTGCAGCCTCCATCTGAGAAGGTGAGGCTCTGGACTGCAGGCTGCGGACAACCCAGGTTCTGGTTGCGTTGTGTAAAAGTTATGTAATGTTGAAATAAAAACAACAAGTATTAAATACAAGCTCTCCATGTCTTAATGAGAAAAGCAGCACACCACAGGGTGGATTGCAGGCAGTGAGAGTAACTGAGATGTAGAGAGGGAGAAAAGAAGAGCAGGAAGGCTGGGAGGAAGGGAGACTGACTGGGAGGAGTGTTGCAGAGAGTGAGACAGGGTGGCTGAATGGACTTGTAGGCAGTGTGGATGGGTTGTTGTTCAGAGAGAGACAGATCATGGCTGTCGTTACACACCAGTTGTAGGGGTTACACAGTGGGGGAGAAACTGTCTGGTTAAGATGTTACAGGGGAGGCAGGATGAAGGGAGGCTCCTACCCCTCCTCCCTGATTTTGCCCCTCAGCCCCTCTCCTGCCACTACCTACAGATGCTTGACTCTCCCCCTGGCCTCGCCAGTAAATTTCCACCTCCTGCTCAGACCTTGACCATCCCCCCCCCTCCGATTTGCCCCCTTTGCCCCTTTTTAAACCTTCCACAGAGCAGGCAGCAGAGTCTGATTCCAAGTAAGGGCAGAGTGAGGGCAATGGCAGCAGCAGATGTTACTGAGCTTACTCAGTTTGAGTGAGCATGTTCAGTACAACTTAGATAGGAAATTCTGCCAGGGAGCTGTTTGTCTCCTCCCCTTGATGGTCTCCCAAAGAGCAAGGATGAGGTAGCAAGCCAGTAGGCCACCCCCACCAGAAGCCGAGGGAGGGAGGGAAAGGCAACCACTCTGCTTCCCTGAGGAGTCTGAGAATAAATGAGTTTGGTTGAGAGGTGTGCCTCAGATCTGATGAAGGTTGGAGCAATCAGGGGTTAGTGGGAGCCTCTGGGTTGAGAGGAGGCAGGTTACTGTAGTGAGGTGTTTGAAGGAGATGGAGGGGGAGCTGCCATGTTTAAAGGGACTTGGGTGAGGTACACTGGATTTGTTGGGGGGTTAGTACTGCCAACCCCGAGTGTTCAAAAATCAGGTGACTGACATCAAGATAATAACATTATTAAATAATACACTTTGGGGGTTCTTTTTATTTACCTTCTGGTTTTCTAAACTTCAGGGTGCACTTGGGTCACATTTTCAAGCTTCTCTCCACAACCAGGAGGACCAGAAACTTGATTGTCACACATTTCATTTCCGTTGGCTCCAAGATCTGTTGTTTTAAGGGGGGGGAATATTACGTTGTGAGATACACTATAAATCACAAACGGTACTGGGTTGTTGGGAAAGGTATCTGGGGGATCACTGATTCGGGAGTTAAGATATGTGTAGCTGGGTTCTAGCGTTGTGGGCTTGGGAGAGGAAGGGGACATTGGGCTGAAGCAGAGAGAGGGGCCAGCACTATGACCACATGTCCCAGGAAAGAGCTAAAGCCAGAAGGTTCCTGGTAAAGTGGGACATATGGTAACACTAGTCACGTTTGTCTCACTTGAGTGAGAGCTGTAGGCAGCCTATCCCCGCTGCTCACCCCGTCTGCTCTGCCGGGGTCCAGACTCCCACTTTTACTTACTGGCTCCAGCAATGGCTTTGGCCAGGGCCAAGTAGCGTGCCCGGCTAGCCAGCTAGCTCCTGAGCCGGGGGCGGAAGAGGGCGGCTCCCTTTCCTTTGTTATATACAAAGGCCGTCCCCCAGCGCTGCTCCCAGCGGAGCGGAGGGGTGGAGTGAGGCAGCAGAAGCTTTAGCTTCGCCTTATGCAAGGAGCGCAGCAGGAATCGCAGCACCGAGACTCCCCACCCGTCTTCTCCGCAAGTGCCTGTCTGACCTTAGCCCCAGACAGGAGGTCGTGCTAGTCAGTGAGTCCCGGGGGTGTAGGGGAGACGCTTGTTCCACTCAGTGGGTCTTGGGGCGGGGGGCCGCACTTACCTTGCTCTGCCTAGTGAACGCAGGGGACCCTCCCTAGTCCCGCTCCACTCCCTGGGTGTCCACGGGCCGTGGGCTCATTGTGCTCGCTGGGTGCCGTAGGCGCGGCGTGGCGCGTTCCCCTCCCTTTGCTGGGAGGACAGGGGGCTCTTGCCACCTCTGCTCGCCGAGGCTCGGAAGTGCAACGCAGGAAACTTGCCTGGCTCTGCCTGGAGACTGACAGGGGGTGTTGGCTCACTCCGCTCGGTGGGACCCCGGGGGCAGCAGGAGCTCTTGGCTCGCGCTGGTCAGTGGAGCCTGCTGTGGGGCTGCCCATCTTCCACCTGTTGCCTTGTTCTGAGCTTCTTTGAGGTGCTCGTGCGCGTCTCTTCCCGCCCCGGGTTCCCCCAGCTTGCTCTTTGGGGGACAGCTGCCGGAGTTCCCGGGTTTCCTTTCGGACTCTGACCCGTCTCTCCAGACTCAGGGACCCCATTAAAGCACCCTAGTACTGCTGGGTGGGTGAGGCGCTTGCAACAATTGCTGTTGCTTGTTGTTCGCAGCTTGTTTGCTCCGGTTGTTCCGATGTTACCCTTTTGGGTAACGGGAGCCGCAGCAGGGATTGTCTCCCTGCATCTCATCCAGAAACTCCTCTTCCCCTACTTCTGGCACGACCTGAAATACCTGCTTAAAGTGATAAAGTATGGGCTGACCGTGGAGATCTACAGGCTGCGAGGGAAGATTTTCACGGTGCTGGACAGGTTTGTGAAACAAGCTGAAAGGCAGCCCAACAAGCCATTCATCCTCTATGAAGGGGCTGTTCACACTTACCAGGACGTGGATAGGAGGAGTAACAGGGTAGCTCAGGTTTTCCTGCAACAAGGAGCTCTGGAAAAGGGGGATACGGTGGCCCTGCTGATGAGCAATGAACCTGACTTCATCCATGTGTGGTTTGGAGTGGCCAAGCTGGGCTGTGTGGTGGCTTTCCTCAACTTCAACATCCGATCCAGGTCTCTTCTGCATTGTATCAGCAGCTGTGAGTCCAAGATACTTATTGTGGGAGCAGGTACAGTATATACTTACTTATGCTTTTAACCTCATACACTGCATTTCTCCCCACGTCCTTTCTTTGGAGACCTGGTTTAGACAGATGATGTATTAAAGTAGTACCAAGAGGCCCCCAAATCATGAGCAGGTCCCTTTTGTGTGGTAGGCTTATGAGGATATTATTCCTAACCCAAGCAGCTTACAGTCTAAAAAAAGTTGTGTTATTTGTGTGGCATAGAGGAGATGAGACCCCTGCAAACATACAACAGACAACTAGCATTTAGGAGAGGGATGTAATAATCAGGGGTAGCTCACTTTGTGTTAGTTTCCAAATTATGGGTGGATTTTTGTTGTGTTCAGAGGAGATAGAACTCCTTTTTTGACCTGCGTGTATTGTACAATGTAATTAGTGTTTATGAGAAAGGGCCTCAAACCAAAACCACATATCCAAAATCAGCTTGATTGGTAAAGAGCTTCAGCATCCAAATCCAGGTGCTAATTTTGCAAATGGCTCTTCATCTTTATAAAAAAACTAAGCAAAATCTCAGACTGGAACACTCCTGATCTTTGGGGTTGGAGTGTGTGTGTTTCAAAATTTACACTCTAAATATGCAGCTTTGTCCCATCTCTAAAATTATTACCTCAACCTGCACTTTGTGCCTTGTTTCTGGTTTTCTATGTATTGCTGTGCCTTTACTAGGCTGAGAGAGGGATTTTGCACCCTTTTCACCTGATTGGTGGAATTCCTTCTACATACTGTCTACGGTGGCGATTTTCTATTTTTAAAAGTAATCTTAAAACTTCCCCCTGATTATTTTTAGTTTCATTGGATGTTTTGTACTACAGTTTGTATTACTGTTCGTACAAGTGTCTGAAAAATATGAGTGGAGAAGAGTGTTATTTACGCAAGCTACTGAAATTAGAACCAGCGCTGCAATGCAAATTCAGCAGGATCACAAAACACATAATGACTACAGTGGGTGGGAGATGGTTTTCCTATCCCATTCAAAAAATTTCCTGTTCCTCATCGTGATGAAACTAAATTTTTTCGAAGTTTTAAGAGTGAGACCCCAGAATAGCCAAAAGCTTAGTGATTAGGACGCTCACCTGTGATGAGGGAGACCCTGCAAATGAGGCCAAGTAGGAGCTTGATCTCCCATATCCCAAGTGAGGGCCGTAACCACTTCTTGACTATCCTAAGGTGAGGGCTTTTTCCGTCTCTCCTGTTGGGGCTGTTCCACTTTGTATAAATAACTAAGCGAGCCAGACGGGGGGGAGGAGAGACTGACTGCATAGCCTGGTGGAAGACTCTCACCTGGGAGGTGGAAGAAAATGGGTCAGTTTCAATCAGTTAGTAGTTTCTGGCAAAAAAAAGTTTGGTTGAAAAATTCCCAACCATCTCTAATAATGACCTTTTGAGTTTACATTTTTCTCTTTCACTACCTGTCTTATTCAAAATGTGGATAATATCTCAATGTAATAGTTTAAGACAGTTAATCCTGATGGATTGAGGCTCTTTAGTGTTAGAGTGGAAGGAGGAGATTCATGTCTGTGAAACTTTTGCTCACTTACAACCAGATCCTACCACCCTTACTACTCAGTTAGTCCCTATCGTTTCAATATGGGTAAGATACTACTTAAGATGAGTAAGGGCAGTGAAATCTAATCCTTAAAGGAGCCAAATCATGCAGTCCTACCTAGGCTAAATGAGCATTTTTAACAAATTGTAACTGCAAATTGTATCCCTTACTGCAGGAAGTTGTATAGAAGCAGTAAGTGTTAACAGCATAGGCGTAGTACCAGAGTCACCCCAACTAGCACAGGAAAGTGCACATTGAACTTTCTGGCACCTATAATGGCAGCTGAACAGTATTTCCAGCTCTGGCATTGCTTGGGGCTTTCCACTGAGAGAGGGTTGCTTTGTCAGCGGCCCCTGACAACATAGGCTGCTTAGGGGGATATGCAGAATTATATCCCCTAGCCGTTCTGATTATGGCCCCTCTTTGGCCAGTGTTTCCCACTTTTTTCCCCCAGCTTCACTGACTGCCTAGGAGCCTCCTGGCAGAGAGGAAATTGCCGTTGCTTTCTGCCACGGCTGTGTGCCCTTGTGGAAGTCCTGTCGCTATGGCTCCTGAACCCTGGTTTACACTGGCAGAAGTCAAGATAAACTAGGAATGAATTTAGATCATATTCTGTGAATGTCCTGGAGGAGGGGAGTGAGTGAGATATTTTCAGGTGCTTGTGAATTCAGAACAGCTACTGTGACATACAAGCATCAGGATCCGTAATCAGGTTTTAAAAGGGAAATTGTTTTCTTGATAAAATAGATATTTGATAATAATTGACATTTAATTTGATTATTTAAACTAAATTATAAAAATAAGTATTATGAGACATCCAGAGCAGCACAGAGTTAAAGACATGCAGGGTGGACTCTTATGGACTGTTCCAAGATGGGATTTGGCTCCCCATTTTGCTTGCTTGCTTCTCCCTTCCCTGGAAACTCACTGGGTCCCCTACCTGAGTCAGTGCCTCCTTCAGATACATCCCAGCGTTTGATCAGTAATAGACACTAAGTATTTGTAGTTCCTAAACACATTCTAGAATCTTTTGCACAGTCTTCAATGGCATTTCAAGGGAGCAATGGCAGGCAACATAGATTCTTAGCTACATCTGATGACACCTGCAAGCTTTTGCCATAGGTTCTAGAACAATTTTTATAGTGGGGGTGCTGAAAGCCATTGAACCAAACTGTAAACCCCGTATATAATGGAAATAACTTCAAACCAGGAGGTGCTGCCTTACCTCCAGCACCTCTGGCTTTTGCTGAACACAATTTAGCAGGAACAGAGAGAGCCTTTTTGACAGGGAACTAAGTATATGGAGGGAATGAATCTAAAAATGGGGAGTTTGGGACTGGCCTTTTATTGTTAAAAGGATCATTGGTGGCTACCTGGGTTGTCACAGCTTATTTAGCATATGCATCAGTGCCCTTCAAATATTTTGTCAGCAATATTTCATAAAACTTTTTGAATGAACCGAGTAAGATTTTGTTCAGTACAAGTTGATCTCATAATCTGATTTCGATCAGTTATTACTGTGGGTTCATATCTGCCTGCCAATAAATACTTGCATTATTTCTTTGTTTGGAAAAATAGAGAAAACCTTTTGTATGACTAGCAATGCAGGAGGCAGTTTAAAGCCAAAAGGTATTTTGTCTATTATTCTAAGGTCACAATTAACAATTATTTATGTATTAAGGTTGTTCACATCATGTCACAAACCTGCTCAATTGTTCATAGGGAAGCAGGAGAGGGAAAAATAGAGAAAAGGGCGTGGGGAGAGCTCCACCTCCATTAACACATGAATTTTCCCAGGAAAGCTAAGTAGTTAATACATTCTGAATAGACAAACATTATGTAAATAACATACAGGACTGCTATTTACTCTATTATAGTTAAAGATTAGAGCTAATAATAACTCACTGCAAAACAAACCCTAAAGTTTAATAGTACGTTACTAAGAAAAAAATAAACAAAATAGAGAAAGCTTAAGTTCACAACCTATGGCTTGCTTTACCATCTGCTTATGTACATGTACCAGGCACCACCAGAAATGCTGTATTGTGTTTCTTCCAAGAGAGCTGTTTATTCTGGAAACATGGGTAATACAAGTGTAGAATGAGCAGCAGGCTCTTTAAAAACATCTGGTGGAGAAATTCAGTGTGCATTAAACAATACATCAGCATTGGACATAGTCTTGGACCTTTTTACATTTGTATAAGTGCTCTTTGGAAATACAATGGAGAGTTTATCTTCAGCTCACATTGTTCATACATTATCCAGAATTAATCTAAGGTTTCTGGCTCTTTTAATATTAGGAAAATATTTAGCTATTTCCGATTGCCTTTTTTTCCTTCAGGAAATTGCTTATGGTTTTTTGCTGTGCTCTCCTATCTAACCTGGAATCTCTTTCAAGATAACAAATGATTACAAACTGTTCAGATACTGTTCCAAGTTTTTAATAGCAGAGTGCAACTGAAAAGTCTTTTGTAGAACCGACTCACGGTATTAATATTCAATACTAGGTGAATAAACAAACCTGTACACAGAAACATTAGATTAATTGAGTAATTTTAAAAGTGGAAGCAGTAAATCAAGGATATTTTCAGTCTGGGGCATGATCTTAATTAATTGGAATAACATAAGGAAGATGTGTTTTAGTCTAGGAAGTGGGAACTGCTGCCTTTCTGTCATTGCTAAATGATAGTTTAAATTGGACTGTAACTGTGATATTTTTCCCCTTAGAAAGGATTGCCTGATTAGAGGATAGGGTAATCTTATGACCACAGCCCCCTTCTTTCTTGACTTGTCTGCAGTTTAAATATAATTAATATTTCTCAAATACATTAAGAACTCAGTGTAAATTTATTTCTGACTACTGCACTGAAAAATAAAAGATCAGAATTATACCTGAAATTATGAGCGACCATAAAATCAGTGACTAATTTCTTAGTGTTCTTTATGCTCAGTAGTCCTAAACATGGGAAAAATAGTTTTCTGTAAATAAGCCAATGCTTTTTTGGCACCAATTACATAAAATTGCAAACATTTCTAGGGATGTGAAACACAAGAGACCATAAATCATGATAGCTGCTCATTTTTTACTTGTAGTCTGTGTATGTTTGGAGGATGGTGACATCTGTTGCTGTTTTCTGCCATGCCATTTGCAAGGGGATAATTTTGGGTTAAGCAGACCACTAGAAACACTGCAGTTGTGTCACTAGTGCAGACACTTACTTCAGCGATGGAAGGGGTTCTTCTGTAGTAAATCCACCTTTCCAAGAGGCAGTAGCTAGGTCAATGGAAGATTTTTCCATAGAGCTGTCTACACCAGAGCTTAGGTCTACCTAAATACATTGCACAGGGCGTGACATTTTTTCAGTCTTGAGCAATATAGTTAAGCCGGCCTAGCTTTGCAATGTAGACCAGCCCAAGTATCCATAACTAAACTGCAGTGCATGAAAGCAGATTATCTTGCCAGATGAAATCTGGTGAGAAACATTAACTGCACTTCTCATCTGAGACATGACTGTAAACTACCCAAGATTAGGTATGGCCAAGAGATGGTAGTCATTGTTAGTGAGTTTTTATGGAGTGCTGGCTGAAATTTAAAGCATGGGAGTGACCGCAATTGTATGTACCATTGCTTGTCCTTTTCTACATAAAGTCCACCCCACCCCCAGGGCATCAGCACCTGGTTATATTCCTTTACTTTCACAGAGGTGAATCCGTCTCCTTGTATTTTGCTAACACAACTCTAAAACATTGAAAAACTTGCTTTAAGTTTAGCTTTCTGTAAATACATTATAAAATAGGTAACACAATGTTGTTATTATTTTTAAGATATGCTTGGGACATTAGAGGAAATTCTTCCTAGCCTCCAAAAAGATATTGGTATTTGGGTAATGACAAAAGACTGCACTCTGCCACGTGTTAATACCCTTTTAGACAAACTGGAAGCTGCATCTGAAGACTGTGTACCAGTTAATCTCCGCTCTGCAAACAACCTCAAGTCCTCCGTACTCTACATTTTTACCTCAGGAACAACAGGTACAGCTCTCTTGTGTTTCCATCATTTCCTGAAACTGTATATGAAACCATCAGTTAATTTGTCTGTATCAGACACTCTAAAAGTCTCACCTCAGTCTATAGGAGAAGGTATCAGGAGCTCAAGAAAGGCATTGGTCATTTCCAAGGCTGTTGGCATAGAGGATCCCTCTGACTCCGCATCCCGCAAAGGTAGCACCTTTTCCCCTGCCCAGCTGAATTTCTTAAATCCTGGGGCAGGGCATTATGCCCTTTTATTAAATAACTACTATTATTGGTGCCTGCTAATCAACACTGCAAACATAATACTAATATTTTGTGATTCTATAACACAGCCATAGAACTAATGTGTACATCTAGAACTTTACAACATCCTTTCAAAACAAGTTACTATGCACTTATTATGAAGTGGGTCTTCATTAAGTTGCTTTGAATGCAGGTCACCAAAGAGACAGAAAATAGGATTAAGTTACTAGCCTTTTAGTTTAGAAACAGATGGCTGGGTTCATTACCATTGCTCCAGTGGCTAAGACGTTAAGACTTTTAAAAAATTCTGATCACTGACATAAAAAGCAGCATGATGTTGTTAGGATAAACAGATTGGTGTTTCTTAATCAACTGAAAACTAACTTGTGGTTTCAGTCATGAGATGTTTTAAAAATAACTTGCATCTTACAACTTGTTTCCCCTGCCCAAGCATAATTATTTTATTGATTTTATTTGCCTCCATGGAACCATACATTAGTTTATTTTAGAACTAAATTCTATTTATTTTTAAAGTAATTAAAAAAACAGAACTGTTGCAAACGTTATTCAGAGATCAGTTATGTTTGAAATAGTGGTGAAAAAATATAGCAGAGCTTGCTACTGTGGATAGAAATTTTGTTCTGAATTCTCTTAGCTAAATCATGTTATAGACTTCACTAGGTAGTCTATAACATAGTTTCTACAATGTCATTTAAGGCCTCCATATGAAGCTGAAGTGGAAAGATGCAATGCACAGAATTAATCTACTATAGTTTAGTTACTTACAGAGGTAAGAAAATTTAAGTGATTGTATGTAGACCATGCATACTGAAACTTTATCTCTTTTAAGTATAGTGTGATTACAAAAAGACCAGTTATTTAGCATGGAAAAAAATTTAGAGGGAATTGAATCATTATGTTTAAAATCATGTCTCATGCAATCTGATTCATCTAGGGCAAACAAATCCATCCATCCTTTTCATGCTTTCCGATAATACAAGAACACATGATTGCTGATATAATTAATAGTCTAGATTTACTGGCCAAGTTAAAAGGAAATAAAATGTTGTGCAGCTTTTAGTCATCTTATGGAATCTAGAGCCAGGGGAAATCAAAAGCAAAAACCGTGGATGGATTTTTTCAAAGTGCTAGATTATTTTGATCAATAAAATAATTTTGTGATTATGCATGCTAAAGTAAGAGTGAAGGCTGATTCCTAAAGGAAGGAATCTTTCCCTTACATAAAGCACTGCACAACTAGCTATTGGTAGGTATGATATGGTGGGACCTGAGTGCACAGGTTTGTCTTCCTCTGGAATGTCAAGTAGAGGCCACGGTCAGAGCCAGACAGGAGGAAATACTCAATGAACCATTGATCTGATCAGTATGGAAAGTCTTTTGTCCTGCAGTGTATAATTTATTTATCATCCTTGGAAATGATATGCACTTCTGAGTGGCTCTCACCCCAAATACAGCTTTATAAACTTGTTTAGCTTATTTAATATAAACTCCTAATTGGTTTTTAATTTTGTATATTTAAGATTATCAATTTTGCAGTCCTTGCTTGTCTTTTTTGAGTTTAAACAGTGACTGCTGATGGTGTTCCAATGTGAGAACAGCATTTATCCAGGAGCACAAGAAAGAGAAACAAGTTCTTCTAGAACTCCTTTTCAGAAGACAAATATCTTGCTGCGTCCCACATCATCTTCTAAGGAGTCAGCATTTGGGATTGGGGGGTGGGAAGCAGAGGCAGGAAAGCCCTTGAATCTTACTGGAGAGAGATGCCATGAAATCAGTGTCATGTGATGTAGTAAAGAATCACAGAAAGAGCTGATTTCTTCTAACACTGAACAAGGATTAGAAATAAGGAAAATACTGTTTTTAAAGCTTCTGCCTCACTGTAGTGCTTGTGCCTAGAACCTTCCCCAATCTCCCTCCTACCAGGATCCCTGGTTAAGTTTTAAAGAAACTGTACACATCCACACATGAGTTGCTGTGTGTGGGGAAAAAACAAAATGAAATGGAGCAAAGGCATGACAGCTGTGATGTCATAAATTTCCACCACAACTTCAACAACCATCCATCCATGAAACTCTCTCTAGAGTACTACCACACCAGCATCAAATTCCTGGACACCATGATTAGCTTCAGTAGTGAAACCCTATAAACAACTATACATAGGAAATGCATGGATCACCACACTTATCTTCACACATCTAGTAACCATCCCCAAACACACCAAGAAATCTGTTTTCTACCAGGCACTCAGATATCCTAGAATGTGCTCTGAGGCCAGAATCCAGGTACAAACCTTAACACACTTAAAATCCCCTTCACCATACAAGGAAACTCCACCAGAAAAGTAGATCACATCATGGAACGGGCCACCCAAATACCCTGACAGAACCTGCTTTAATACAGGAGGGGAAACAAACTTCCCACTGTATAACCCTAGTTGTCACCTAATATCCCATGCTGAAACCCATACAGGGTATCATTAAACGTGCACCCCATACTTGATGGGGACCATATCCTGAAAGAAATATTTCCCAAACTCCTTCTTCTGGCCTTCAAACAGCCCCCTAGCCTCGCCAAGCTCATCATCAGAAGCATGCTCCCCATACACCAGGACATACCAACTCAAAGCAGTACCATCCCCCACTATAACACTAGATGCAAAACCTGCAGATATGTCTTCACTGTTATGATGATCAATACCCCCCACAACACACCTTTCAAGATCCATGGGTCCTACACATGCCTATCACACCAATGTGCTGTACCTCATCCAGTGCACTAACTGCCTTAATAACTATGTGGGTGAACCCAGACAATCTACACCCTCGAAGGAATTCACACAGAAAAATGATAAAAGATAAAAACATGGGTGAACACTTTTCACAAAATGATCACTGCGTATCTGACCTCTCAGTCCTCGTTCTCTAAGGAAAGGGAACTTAATTTCATAACTCTGCTAGACACCAAAAATCATGGAGTTAGTAAAGACACTGGATCTGTTCTACCCTTGTATTTAGCTGTGACACTCTGGGCATGTCTACACTTAAAATGCTGCATCGACGCAGCTGTACCACTGTAGTGCTTTAATGAAGATGCTCTTAGTCAATGAAAGAGAGCTCTCCTCTTCAGCTTCGTTAATCCACTTCCCCGAGAGGCAGTAGCTATGTTGATGGGAGAAGTTCTCCTGCCGACCTAGTGCTGTCTACGCAGGGGGCTAGGTTGCTGTAACTACATCGCTCAGGGGTGTGGGTAGTTATACCGATAGACAAGAACTCTGGTTACCTTTCCCAGACCTGAAGCAGAGCTCTGCATAAACTCGAAAACTTGTCTCTTTCACCAACAGAAGTTGGTCCAATAAAAGATATTACCTCACCTACCTTGTCTATTTTGACTATACATCAGGCCTGGAGCTCCTTCATATTTTTTCACATCCTGGACCATCTGTTGTTGAATCAGATGACCCAGTATGCAGTGAGTTTATGCACCTATGACCTGCTGCATATTTCTTACTTCTATAGGACCAACAGATATAGTGCCACATTAAACTTGCAAACAAGTTCTTAGATGTCTGTGTAGTTAAGTGGCTAGCTGAAAAATTGGCTCTAGAATATAGGAAGGTATTAGTATTATTGAAGTTCTTAACAGACTGGATACTCATGTACTCAACAAAAGTGAATTTTGACCTCTCTGTAATGTATAGTTTTGTCTTTTTTAGGTCTACCAAAAGCTGCAGTTATCAGTCATCTGCAGATTCTAAAAGGAGCTGCTGGATTATGGGCATTTGGTGCTACTGCAGATGACACTGTTTATATAACTCTCCCTCTTTACCACAGTGCAGCTTCTCTCCTTGGCATTGGTGGATGTATTGAATTGGGTAGGCTCACTTTATTTTATAGCATTGTTGATTTGAAGAGGGGATTAATTTAGAACTGCATTAAAACACAGTGCAGAATCATTGCTATCAGTGGGGTTAATTAAACTTGTCTTCTTATATCTGCCTTTCTAAGCCAAAAAAGAAATGAATCTGGAAATAATTTTAACCAGTTTTGTGATTTAGTTGATTAGTAGTTTTGTTGTTTGTTTGTTGTTCTTTTTTAAGAAACTGTAGAAAGGTCCATATTATCCATTTTTTCTTTTAGAAAATTGGGTAAAATTCTGTTCATCCACTTGTTTGTTTTTGTTTGTTTGTTTGTTTGTTTTTGACATTAGGGTAACAGGGTAGCAGGCCCTTAAATGAAATTGGGCTCAGTGCCCCTGTTGCAGTCCAGGTGCACCTGAGTTTAGTGTAATGAGGAAGGTGGGGCGGCCCCTGAGAGTTATAAATGAGAGTTCAGAGGTTTGAGAAGGGAATTCAGAACTCAGAACGCTGAGAGGAAGCTTAGAAGGAGAGTTCAGAGCCCAGAATTTAAAAGGGGAGAGCGTCTAGAGTCCTGAGAATAAAGAGCTCACAGAGGAAGAACAGAGCTGGGCTGAGAGCTTCAGGGAGGAGATGCCCCTGAAGGATGAATCAGTGTGAGTTCCTGGTTTAAGCAGTGAACCCAGAAGATCAGGCTGGTGAAAGTTTAAGGCAGGAAGGCAGTTGGAATCACCTACATACTTCTCCAGGCTAGAGAGCCATAACCAGAGAGGGCTGAAGGCTGTGAGCAATAAAGGGAGATGCTGAGCTGGACAGCTGAAGCCAGAGGGCCAGAGAGGGCTGAAGTCTGGGGAATGAGGGAGAGGCAACCCTGCCGATATCTCTAGGCAAGAACTGGCACCCTATCTGGGAAGAAAATAGGGTAGATAAACGTCCAGGCTGAGGTGAGGTGCGGTGAGAGATGCCAGAGCTGTACCTGGGAGCTGGGCTGAAGCATGATGCGGGATGTCAGAGCTACACGTAGTGTTGGACTGTTGGATCTAATCTACTGTTTGGACTGTACTGAGGGATTCTGGTTTATGGTAGTGGGACTTTTGGTCATAAATTAACATCCTCCCCCTCCCCCCAGGCTATTTATACATTGCAAAAACTGTATTGAGTTTATTTGAGGAATCAAGAGGGGAAAGTAAGGCAGTGGGCCACTTGCAGGGCTTCCTTGGGGCCAACAGGAGGAGGCCACACATTTACAGGGTAACAACCCCCAAAACAGGCTGTTCTTTTTAAAGTCTTAAACTTGCTATGGCTTAGAGTTAAGGAGACCCATAACTTTGTAGAATGGTACTATTCCCATGTGTAAAGTTAGGCACATATTTAACTGTCTGCAGGCTGTGTAAACACACCAGCGTGAGTACTGCTGGAGCTCTGTGACTGGTATAGATTAAAAGATTTTTTTTTTTTTTTTTCAGATTTAAAATATTTGAAAATAAATTTACGGCATTGAAAATTGTTGGACTTTATGCACTTAAATTGCATTGTCTCTTAGCATTGACTATAGAATATACATTTTATTGTGACTGTTTGTCCTTATACACAGTAAACCCATGGATCACCACACCAAATACCCTGATGGAACTTGCTTTAAATACGGGGGGGGAACCTTCCACTGTACAACCCTAATTGTCACCTAATACCCCACACTGAAACAGGGTATCATTAAATTAATGTGGACGGTCAGGGCAAAGGTTTGCTGTAGGGTGAAGTGTAGTTTAGAGGTAGACAGGAGATTATATTCAGTGGACTATGTGGATCTGATTCAGTATGGGGAATCCTTTGTTCTTTCTGTGTATAATTATTCTACATGGGATATCTTTTCCTGTTGTCTACTGATCTTCATGTTAGAAATGTTCTACCCAAAATTTCTGAATTTTGTCTTGCCTTGTGCAAAATACAGCAAAGGTAGTGCATCTATTTTAGAAAACCTACATCTAATTTCATGAAATTGGAATGAATAATATTTAGCATTTGTGTGATACTATATAGTAGATATTATAATGCCTTCCTCAGCCTTATTCCTCAGTTTTCCCATCTGTTAGTTAAAGTGCACAGAGGGGATCAATGCTGAATCAGGATTAAAACTGATGAAGTTGGGTCACTGGTAATACTTGTGCTTTTGTCTTTATATGTTTGGGGAGAGAGTGATAATAACATCTTATGAGTTTGGGAGCAATTTAGGACTTCAGTGCTCGTCCAGGGGCATTACTGCAGTGTGTAGCTAAAAGGCAAAATGTAGTTTTTCCATAAAGCAATCTATGTACACAAAATTATATTCCTCTGCCTCAGAGAAAAAAGAAACATCTTTTGTTCTGGGCTTTTGTGCTCCTTAATTTTGTATTGCACTTAAATGCCACGTGTTAGGTACTAGTTTAAAAAACAAAAAATCCCGAATACTGACACATTCCACTGTAATGGACAAGGTCTATGAATTTAGACCCATCAGTAAAACAAACACATGAGATTGATTCAAATACAAATGAGTCAAAGTTCTTACCTTTACATGACTGTATGGTACCTGTAGCAGCATTCTCGTCAAGTTCACATAACCAGTGTTTCCTGTTTTTATTTTCTTAATAAGGTGCAACTTGTGTCTTAAGAAAGAAATTCTCATGTAGTCAGTTCTGGAGTGACTGCAAAAAGTACAATGTGACTGTTATCCAGTATATCGGAGAACTTTGTCGTTATCTTTGCAATCAACCTGTGGTAAGTGGAATTAAAATAATGGTTATCCTAGCATTTGGTTATTCGCTAAACTTTACTTGCATGCTAACTGTTCTAGCTATATTTACATTAAAAGGGAAATGTGAACTGTAATTTAAATGAAAAAAAAATGTCCCCTCCACCCCTCCTTCTGTGCAAAGTTGCTGATGCATCCTTGGCTGCCAATAGATTCGTGCTGGGAATACTGAACTGGTACCAAGGAGTTGATACCATGTTTAAAGATGTAAGGGGGAAAATGTTCAATGAGACAGAAAACTGAATCAGTTTTATTTTATTTGGAAAAGAAAATGTTCGTGCTAAAACTTTAGCAAAGGGTAAGTCTAGAGTACCTACATTAGCATTCATGCATTTTCAGAGTCTTGGTTCTTGTGATCAGCTGAAATAGACACTATCAAGTTTTGTAGACTTACCTACTTTTGGCCCTATTAGCTTTATTTTGGCTTGCGGAACATGCATGCACATAGGCCATCCCTCTGCTCTGTTCTTGAAGGTTTTATAGGGGTCAATACAGTTCAAAAGCTCAAGAGAAAATTGTTTTAAGTTCCTATTAAATTAGTTTGCCCTTCAGACTTTTCAGCCTTAAGAGTGCAGACCAATGTGTCTACACCTTCTAGAGGTACGCATGGAGGGAAGAGGGAGCCTCTCCCTCCTCCTGTCCTTATGCAGCAGTTGGGCAAAATGGGAGTTCTTGATCTCTGTGACTGCAAGGTCCCTACAGGGAGGTGTTACCATCTGCACTAACCTCCACAATTGGCTAGCAGAGTGAACACAGTACTCCCAGGTCTGGAAGCCATCGTGTCTGAGCTCCAAGTGGGGCAGAGTAGTGACTATCCACAACCCAGCTCCGTATCTTTAGAACGTTGGTGACTAACCAAAACTTCCAGCTGTGTAGAAACTGAAAAACTTAGCATAGTTAAGTCCTCAGCTGTATCTCAGCTATAAGTAATATATAAATATTATGTCCAAAAATTCAAGTACACTTGACATAATATAGGAAACAATTTGTTACCATCCGCTAGCAATATTAGGTTTGCACTCTATTGTGTACATAACTCCTATTAGCTCTCATGAATTACATATGTAGGTTAAAAGCTAAAAGGTTTTAGCTGGAAGCTGCATTCAGTGATTGTATTAAAATCAGGGCATTACATTATGCATGTCTAAAAAGAACTTTCTGATTTGCTTAAACAGAGAGCAAAAGAAGGAAGACCCAAATATTTAAAATAAAAATGCACGTTCAAGTCAGGGATTTTGACTGAGATGTACACGAAAGTGCATGTGTACTCCTGAAAATATGGGCCTGAGTCTTTAATTCAGTGTGTAAAAGCTATTTGACCAATAATTGAAAATTTTTGCTACATAGGGAGGTTGGGCCAGCTCTGGTGTAAGTGGTCTCAAGCATTTAGTGGGATTGCACTGGTTGTAAAGCAGCCCAGAATCTGACCCTTTACATTAAATAACAGAGCCTGTGGTTTAGGTTTTTATAAAATTGTATCTAGCATATGACATAGTAGAGAGTTCTGTAAATACACATCTATATAATAGATCTGGGTTCATTATTTGATATCTGGATAATAAAGTTGGGGATGGATTCTTTCTTCTTTGTACCTGTAAAATGCTATCAAAGCATAACAGCAGTATTTTATATCCTCTTTCCACAGGTATAAATGAATATATAAGGTGTCTGGCAATGGGGGTGGAGGGTGAAAGGGCTTGAGGGTACCCCACAGGGAGGAATTCCCAAGTGCTCCTTCCTGAGACCAAAGGAGTTTTTTTGCATTTGGATGGTGGCAGCATTTACCAAGCCAAGGTCAGAGGAAAAACTGTAACCTTGGGAGTTTAATGCAAGCCTGGAGTGGCAAGTATTAATTTTTAAAATCCTTGCAGGGCCCCCACCTTCTGTACTCAAACTGACAGCCTTTTGTGCCCTTGAAAATCTCCTCCTTGTCATGCAAGAATTATTTTAAATTGTTCTTGGGACTCCAAAAAATATATATACAATTAGTAAATTTCCCTGGGGCCGCAAGTGTCAGAGACGGATCTACAGGTGCTAAAAACATTAGTGTAGACATTGTGGCTCAGGCTGGAGCTCGGGCTCTGAAGACCAGCACCCTCCCCGGGCTTCAGAGCCCAAGACTGAATGTCTACAAAGCTATTTTTAGCACCTGTAGATCCATCTCTGACACTTGCGGCCCCAGGTTTTAAAATGCAATGTGCACATACTACGAGAGCCAGATTTTGGTTCATGCTCTGAGTGCACTTCAGCGGTGGAAAGCGGCCCTAAAGCTAGTGGAGCCAACCTCCTGAAGATTCCCCCTTGCACATGTGAATCTTTGAGTCGTGTAGATTATATTGGAATTGGAAAAGGTTCAGAAAAGGGCAACAAAAATGATTAGGGGTATGGAATGGCTGCCACATGAGGAGAGATTAATAAGAGTGGGACTTTTCAGTTTGGAAAAGAGACAACTATGTGGGGATATGATACAGGTCTATAAAATCATGACTGGTGTGGAGAAAGTAAATAAGTGTTATTTACTCCTTCTCATAACACAGGAACTAGGGGTCACCCAATGAAATTAATTGGCAGTAGGTTTAAAACAAACAAAAGGAAGTATTTTTTTTACACAATGCACAGTCAGCCTGTGGAACTCCTTGCCAGAGGATGTTGTGAAGGCCAAGACTATAAAAGGGTTCAAAACAGAAGTAGATAAGTTCATGGAGGAATAGGTCCATCAGTGGCTATTAGACAGGATGGGCAGGGATGGCGTCCCTAGCCTCTGTTGGATCACTTGATGATTATCTGTTCTGTTCATTCCCTTTGGGGCACCTGGCATTGGCCGCTGTTGGAAGACAGGATACTGGGCTAGACGGACCTTTGGTCTGACCCAGTATGGCCATTCTTATGTTAGAACCACTGTTCCAGCTCCTACTCCACTCCTCCCTCCTGTATGCCAGCACAGAGGATGTTCCTGGGGAAAAGGTGGCATGGTCTGGGAGTCCTCTGGCCAGCACTTCCCAGCTGCCAGAATGGTATCAGATGGAAATGGTAGTGTCTTATATCCACTTCACACAAATGCAAATGATTACACAGGATGCAGTACACTGGACAATTGGGCACAAGACTATACTGGAAGTCAAACCTACCAAGAAGGTCACCATGTAAAGCTGGTTCCTCTTTACTGCATGCTCTTCTGTTTCTCCCTCACCCCCCTCCTTACTTGGTTTACAAGTTCAGCAACTATGCTCTCAGCCAGTTAAGTTCCCCTCTCTCCGTCCCTCAGTTGCTTGACTTTGCTGAAGAGTGCTGCTTGATTTTTATTTCATTTTACTTTACACCTCCTGTGTCATAAATAGGCAGTGGTAGATTTATTTTCATAGACAAAAACAGGCACAGCCAAGTCTTTTCTTATTCTTTAAATCATCTATGATCATTACAAGCTCCACAGAGCCTTAGTTTTTTAAAATTAATTTTAGTTGTAAAGTTTCTTTCCTCGTATGGAATTTGACACAACAATAATAACTACACTGAGGAGAGACTACACCTTCTAGGACTGCATTTCCCCTCTCTGTATCGATATGAACTCTCACTTCCATTAAACAGCTCCTACCAGCATATGGGCATACATGTCTAATTCCTTGGCCCTGGCACATCCTAAACTCTTCCTACCAATGTACTATTTACTTAATTTGCAGCTCAGATAAAGAAAATCCTAACACTTATCTTCAAAGAGTTAACCTTATAAACTGAATCAGTTCTAAAGTTTTAGATTGTAGTTGGAAGAAAATCTGTAATAGTTTACCATGTTAGAACTGGAGGAGAAACATGTTCATACAAATAAATAGTACGAGTAAAAACCTGTTACTCCATGTAGAGATACATTCATTAATATTTTCCAAGTGAATGAAATTGTTTACCATGTCCTCTCGGTTTCACTAACAAGTACTATTATTAAAAAAAAAAAAAAAAAAATCTTAGCACCGGTAGAAATCTGGCTTGCATAAGGAAAAAATTCTGTGCTGGTATCATGTGGGTTAAAGGAACAAGGTTGTCATTGCTGTATGTGAAAGACCTCCTAATTAACCCCTATTTAACATCTATCACATCTGGTAATACAATATTATTTAAAAGTAATACTAAATTAAAAATAACCACAGCTGGGTGAAAATCTTTGAAATTTGCAGTTACAGGAGATGGCCTATAGGCACCAATGGGACCCATAGTAAACAAGGAGCTTTTCCTCTTCACTTGCTCATAGGTATAACCTGGAAGCCCAAGAATCCAATCTTGAGGACTCACTGCCCTGTCTTCTGAGGCTGCTGGAAGCATTTTGGTTTGAGTACTAGTAGGGATCCCTGTGACTGAGATGTGAACAGGCAGGACTCATCGATGATCTCCATCCTGTGAAGCTGTTGTTATGCTATTTTTCACTAAATATTTGAAGATTTGTTTTTTCTTGGTGTCTTTTCTCTAGCATCAACTCTTGTGAACAAACCTTTTCTCAGCTCCAACCTTTTGACTTGCTGCCGCCTTCTCACGCATCTGCAACAACTCTTGCAGTGAGCGCTTTCCTGTATGCAGTGCTTTAGCAACCTGCAGACCTGTGAAAGGCCACCTGTTACCAGAATGCCTCAGTCACCAGCTCTCCCTTCTCCACTCAAGGGAGCTTGAAATGTGCAGCTTTTGCTAGAGTTCCTAATCAGTTATTGTCTACACAGCTTTGTTGTTCCAAGTTCCCCTCTCAGCCTCTTCATCTCCTCAATAGACGTGTACTTTAGCAAATGCAGCAGAGAGCGGTATCTGTATTAATGTACTAATATGGATACTTTAATGAAAAAGGTTAGTCATAAAACTAATAAGTGTTCTTCCTGTCAGGCTCCATTGAAAGCCTCTTTGTTGAAAGGGCTAAGTGCTTTGACAAATCTCAGAATGGAGTATGGTATAGGTCAGCTACCGCCTCCCATTTCCCCTGTAGGTTCTGAGA